GGGTGGGAATTTAACTCAATGTTAATGCCTATCGTAAACACAGATTTCTTCTCGCCAGGGAATGAAAAGATTGCAGGGAGATGGATAAAAAAAGGAGATGCACAATTAAGAGATCTAATGAATGGTGAGGAAATATGCTCCTTAGGGGAAATGAAAAAGAAGGAGTTGTTTATTAGAGTGGATGAGTGGCGTTATTTACAAATGAAACATTTTATAGAGAAACTCCCCGAGGCCCTTAAGGAAGAAAGAAAAGTGGAATCCATTTGAACTTTTGTTTAGTACATGGGGGGATGGGAAACACAGAACTTCAAAAATATATAAAATTACTAAATTAACAATAAGGACCCGCATATATGGGGAAATGGGAAAGAGAATTGGGAGTTAAGATAGAAGAAGATAAACAAAAAAAGATTTACAGTATAAGTTAGCACACGGTAATGTAAGTATGAAAGATGTAGAGATGAATTATAAATGTTTGGCGAGGTGGTATATGACACCAAATATAGTACACAAACAAAATAGAGATAAATCACCTTTATGTTGGAGGGGTTGTGGGGAACAGGGCATGGTAGGTCACATTTGGTGGGAGTGTTATAAAATCCAAGAATATTGGGAAGAAATAATCCAGCAGGTACAAGATTTAACGGGGATAAAAATATTAAAGGAACCAGGGATATGTCTTTTTCATGCAACAGAGCTAACAGTAGAAAAATATAGACACTCTGGGTTATTGCAGCATACGAACACAGCAAAAAGTTTAATTCCAAAATTATGGATGGAAAAGGGAGTGCCAAACATAATGGACTGGATTAAGAGAGTAGATCAGATATATAAAATGGAGGAATTATACCATTTAGATGAAGACAAAATAGAAGGTTTTTGTGAGAAGTGGAAAAAGTGGTTTAGGAAGGTTAAACTAATTGAAAGTATATAGAAAACCCTAGGACTAAAAAAAAAAAAAAAGAAAAGGATTGGTGCTGAGTGGAAGAGAGGGGGGGAAAGAAGGGGAAGGTACGGATTGGGAGAGAGGGGGGGTGGGGGGTGCGGGAAGGTTTTGTATTTATAATTTTTTATGTTGTATTTTGGGTGAAAATATTTGAATAAGTGACATTGAATTTTTATATTGGAATGGAATAGAAATGAAAAATGTAATAAAATATTAAAAAAAAAAAAAAAAGAAAACTGATGTAGCCAACATATCTAATGATTAGTTAGCTTCAGTATAATACATTTTTGGTTTGGAGTTTAATACTGCTTTAACCACTTCTTGCCTGCCCAATGTATATAAATGGTTGGATGGGTGCCCCCCTGGGGTGTGCAGCGGAGTCATCTATGATTGCTGTGTCCACTTGTTACAGTGGATCACAGTTATCAGTACAAGGCCACTATGATTGGCCCAGTTACTGTACCACGTGATCGCTGTGACCAATCAGAGTAATCACGTGCCCACTAGTAAACAACTGACATGGATGGCATCAAGTCATGATAACATTGTACAGAGTCAGTCACAGTGGCCCTGTACCATGCGATAGGTGTGGCAAATCACAACAATCACAATAATAAACAATGTGTATTGTCCCTAATCATCGCCACACCAGTCCCAGTGTCCCTGATCACTGCCACACCAGTCACAGAGTTCCTGATCGATGCCACAGCAGTTATAGTGTCACCATAAGGACTTGTTCACATGTGCAATGCTCTCTAAAGAGTCATCCATGCGAAAATCGCTGTTCAGAGAGCATTTGACAGGCAGTGAAGAGGCATTTTATTGCCTTCTTACTACCTGCTTTAACCCCTTGGACCCTGCACAAGTAATCCTATTCACTTGAATGCTTCACAATCAGGATACAAGGGATATAATTCCTGCCATAGCTGAGAAGCAAAGCAACGCAGCCACAGCATATGGATGTCCCCAGCCACTGCCTCTGCAGCTAAAGGGGGTAGCAGTTGAAGGGTAGTAACATTGTAGCTCAACCACATGGTTTTACTACCCCAAATCTCACATTGTAATAAGCCCTAATAGTGCAGCCAATCACAGTTCTCAGATCACCACCACACAAGCCACAGTCTTGTCAGATAAGAGTAGCCAGAACAGTGTTCCTGATTGCCACCACACCAGACCCGTGCAGTAAGCAACAGTTTTCCTAACCATCAGCACACCAGTCCCTGTGTCACCAAACCAGTGTATGCTAGCAACAGTGTTCCTTATCACTGCCACACCATTTGCAATATTATCACACCAGTGTAGTCCAGCAATAGTGTTCCCAATTGTTGCCACACCAGTCCCAGTGTCACCAGACTAGTGTAAGCCAGCAACAGTGTTCCTGATCGCCACTACACAAGTGCAGTTTTGCCTATGCCTGTCACCTGAACTAATCCTGGCCTGTTTATTGACCACATTTCTGCTTGTTTTGTGGACAGACACTTTGCCTGATTGCTGACCATGTCTTTGCCTTCTCCTGAATTGATCCATCTACATGTCCGACTCTCTGTGTTCCTGTGAGACACCAGTCCCAGCCATCCCCTGAAAGCTGCTGTATTCCTGGATCCACAAAAACTATTTTGTTCTTCCTTTATTCAGCCTTCTTTACTTCCTGGCCAATGAACATGGCATTCTTGGGGGCAGCCAGAAGGCTAGGCTTGCTTGGCTTATAGGAACTGGGACTGTTATAGGTTCCACTACACTAAGCTACATTCTCTGGCCACCCAATAACGGTGACCATTACAGTACATTGGTTTTGATACAATTGGTTGACTTATGTGATACACAATATACAATGTGATGTATATAATCAGTCCAAACACCGACAAAGTCTAATTGTCATACTCAGGAGTAGCAGAATGTGTTTGAGAAGTATGCCCATGCTGTATTTGAGAACTAAACTTATTAAATTGACTACTTTGTGTAAGAAATTAATTTTTATTTCCATTCTGCATTTTCCAAAAACTTGTGGCAAAAAAAGGGAGTCTTCAAAAGACTCACCATGCCTCTTAGAAGATACCATGGGATGTTTTACTTATACTACTAAATGTGGTCATTTTGTGTGTGTTTCCACTGTCCTAGTGCTCCAAGGCCTCTGAAAATGTGCTAGATAGGGAATTTGATGCATATTTATGACCCTAGAAAGGCCAAAGATGCTCCTTGGATTTTGGACCCCTCTGTGTGGCTAGGCTGTGAAAAAGTCTCACACATGTGGTATCCCCATACTCGGGTGGAATAGCAGAATGTGTTTGGGGGGTATAATTTTATGTGTGTGAGACATAAGTTAACTTTGTTTTAACAAAAAAATATTTTTTTTTATTTTCCAAAAAATTGTGACAAAAAATTACAACTTCAAAAAACTCACCATGCCACTAAATGCCATGGACTGTCTACTTAAATAATATACACAGATTTTTTTTTTTTTTTTACCAAACAAATGCAGCAGAATACATTTTAGCCTACATTTATGAAGAAATATTATTTATTTGCTAAATTGTATTACAGAAATTAAAAAAAAACTGTTTTTTTTTTCAAAATGTCCTGTATTTTTTGTTTATATAGCAAAAAAAAAAAAAAATATTACCGGAAGAAAGTTCTATCTGTCTCAAAAAAAAAAATGGAAGAGGTGGGTGTCCTGTATTGAGGTGGCAAAATTACCATTTAAATAGTAGAAACATGAAAAAGCATATAAAACAAGAACATATACATTAATGCTTTAAATTATTCACAAATTAATTCTCAGCTGTGCTTTAGACAGATGCATGGAGTTTCTAAGTGTGATAAAAATGTCAGCTCTGTTATTGCAGAAGTGTGCATGCCTAATCAAAGATTAAAGCAGTTAATCGTACGACAGAATTTCAACTATAAATCATGTTTTCTATTAGAAAACAGAGTCTTTAGCAAAGAAACAAATCAAAGTGTTAAGATGTTTGCCATGAAGAGTATGCACTTTGAAATGTTTGTCTTGTTAGAGCTTTACAAAATGTAAAAATCTAGAAAATGTAAATACATATTTGTATACAAATAATGCATATCATTAGGAAATTATACCAATTTTATTTATCCTTTCCTGAGTGCTTTAAATGCCAATATTAATATCTTTCATATCAATTTTTTTTATAAAATGCTCATTTAGGTGGCATTTTAAAATAGAGAACAGGTACAGCTCACATTTTATGACTCATTCACAATATACAGGCCAAGGTATGTGGCTAGCTTAAATAATAATATATTTCTAACATACAGCAAAGACATACATATAATTTCATCCCAAAACTCGTTCTGCTACTCTTCCTGAATATGGGGATACCACATGTGCAAGACTATTTCACAGCCTAGCAACATAGAGGGGCTAATTTAAAGGGCATACATTACACACCTAATTTCCTGACTACCGATCACATTTTTGGAGACCCTGGAGCACTAGGACAGTAGAAACCCACACACAATATGAGGTATGCCATTGCTGACCTTGACTAGATCACAGAATCGAGCTCTTCTCCAAATCAGCACAATAAATATTTTTAGAGCACACAGTTGTGCATTTTCATATTGAATAAGAATCTTTTGCTATATTTTCCTTTATGTTGTAATAGTAATATTTAATGATACTTAAATGTTGAGAAAGAATGTTGCTATGGTCCTGAAAAACATGGGATGCTTCTGGACACCAAAAAGCAACTGTAAAGCTGGCCATACATTATACAATTTTCTTATTCAATTTCCTTTAGATTTACCTTTAACTGTGTAGTGCAAGGACCTGACTGATTGCATACAAACTGAAAGTGTTTAAGTTTGACATCATATTGAATGGTTTTGGTAAATCTAAAGGAAAATTGTACAAGAAAATTGTATATTTATGGCCAGCCTAACGTGTAAAGTGAGATGAAATAAACCCGTGTTAATACTGAAACAATTGAAGAATCTGTAGTTAACCACTTCCCATCTGCCCTATATAGCAGATATACTGCTACAGGGCAGCACGGGTGCGCAAAATCACGTATATTGTGTATACGTGTGATTTTGCATTTCCGGGTAGGGGGCATGCAGCCTACCCGTGCTGCCATTCGCAGCCACGGCTGTCAATCACCTGGTCCTGACCGGTGATTACTCATCGGCGCCCCGTGATTGTTGAGGATCTCCAACAGGGGGGGAGAACTCTTAGTAAACACAACAGTTCTCCCCCCTCCCCATCAGCTCCTGCAAACTGCTTTGAATGACTGTGCATAGCACAGCCATGCAAAGCAGTGTGCTTACAGTGAAGCACACAGACACATAGTAAACCACGTCCAGCACAGTTAACCCTTTGATCACCCCAGATGTTAAACCCTCCCTGCCCAGTGCCATTAGTACAGTGTCAGTACTTTTTATTAGCACTAATCACTGTATTAGTGTCACTGGGGATGTCATTGACACCAAGTCAGTTCCCCCCAGTGTCAGAATGCCTGCTGCAGTCCCACTATAAGTTGCCGCCATTTGTAAACGCTATAACTTTCACATAAACCAATTAATTTACAAGTATTGGAATTTTTTTTTTAGCAAAGACATGTAGCAAAATACATTTTGGCCTACATTTATGATGAAATTTGATTTTTAAATTTTTTTTACTGGACATGTTTAAAAGCAAAAAGTCAAAAATATTGTTTTTTTCTCAAAATTGTCTGCCTTTTTTTATAGCGCAAAAAATAAAAAAAAAAACGCACAGGCAATCAAATACCACCAAAAGAAAGCTCAATTTGTGGGAAAAAAAGGCCATAAATTTCAATTGGGTGCAGTGTTGCATGACTGCGCAATTGTCAGTTAAAGTAACGCAGTGCCATAACACAAAAAATGGCTTGGTCAGGAAGAGGAGTAAATCCTCTGGAGGGCAAGTGGTTAAAAAGATGTCTGAAATGAAATTAGCTTCATGTTAGTAACATGGTTCCAGGTGGACCCCCTACCCCAAATGCTGTACACATTACGCTCCTGTAGCAGGAAGCCTCACTGTGGATATGAGAACACTGGCTGCAGTAATCACTATCACCCATATTTGTTCATGCTGACATACATAGCACTGTTGGTGCTTTTTAAATGGAAGTGTTTATTTTAGGAACTTTTAACCACTTGTCCTCCAGAGGATTTTTTTTTTTTACACAAAGTTGTCACTTAAATGATATATTGCTCACATATGCCATGGGTATATGTGGATTTACACCCCAAAATACATACTGCTACTTTACCAAGTATGGGGATACCACATGTGTGAGACTTTTTTTAAGCCTAGCATACAAGGGCCCGAAATCAATGACCACTTTGAAAGCCTGAAGGTGCGTAACTGCCTAATTTCACTTCCTCACTATCTAACACAGTTTCAGAGGCCCTGAAATGCCAGGATAGCACCAACCCCCCCTCCCCCGAACGACCCCTTTTTGGAAAGTAGACACCCAAGGAAATTAAAAAGAGGCATGGCAAGTATTTTGCAGATCTCATTATTTTCTCACAAGATTTGAAATATAAAAAAAGAAAAAATAAGTTTTTGTTTTCTTTCTTCATTTTCCAAAAAACTTGTGGCAACAAACGAGATCTGCAAAATACTCTGGAATTTCAGGGCCTCCGAAACTGTGATAGGTAGTAATGAGGAAATACAGCCATTTAAAAACCTAAAGGTGTTAATTGGATTTTGGGGTCCTGTACTAGACTGCAAAAAAGTCTCTCATATGTGGTATTCCCATACTTAGGAGAATTAGCAAAATATATTTTTGGGAGTAATTCCACATATATGGCAAATGAGGTTGATAAATGTAAGGTTATGCACTTGGGGGCTACGAATATGCATGCATCATACATATTAGGGGGAGTACAACTGGGGGAATCAATGGTGGAGAAGGATCTGGGAGTTTTGGTAGATCACAAACTTAATAATGGTATGCAATGCCAAGCTGCAGTTTCCAAAATTAGCAAAATCCTTTCTTGTATTAAAAGAGGTATAGACTCCAGAGAGTGTGAGCTGGGGAAACAGCTCTCATTGTTTGAACACTGTTTGTGTGCAGTAAATTTTGGTGTGGAGTAAATTGATGTTTTGACTGACATTCTGCGGTTTAGCCACAAGATGTCACTGTTTTTCTAACACAGGCTCAGACTGCATAGATATTTGTATATTCATAAGAGGTGGGGTTTTTTAGTGAACAGGAAGAGGAGACTGCAGCCATGTTTTGGACAATGCTGAATGCAGGAGCCATGTTCTGGAGAATGCTGAATGAAGGGGCCGTGTGAGCTGCAGCTGGGTGAAGCTGATGATATTGCTGCCAGGAAGCTGATGAGAGCCGAGGAACAACGCAGCATACACTACAATATCGCAGGACTGTTGGAGAGACATTTATTCTGTTCAGAGTCACCAGCGTATGCAAAGCAGACACGGGTCGGTAAGATCGTGCACGCACCTCATTTCAGTGTTGGCACCTTGAGACTGAATCCAGCCCTATAATTAGTTGTTTAGGGTCTCTGTGTCAGGCCACAAGTGTTGTTACTGATTATTGGAAGGACTCCACAACTTAAAGTGACATTTCACATTGGAGAGCTGATAAAATCCTACAAACTCAAGCCAGACTGGTGTTTTGCTCAGAAGGAATACTCAGACACGTGCTACAGGACCAGTTATGGGAGGGGGAATACTGTAGATTTGTGTAAGATTGTAAGCTGTTGTGCTGCACCGCAGGCTAGCCCATACCGTACACCCATACACTGATTCCTGCTCTTTTACGGTAATAACAGGTAAGGCGTGGCAGCTTATTTGTGCCCACCAGTAGGTAAATTACTTCACTTTCTACCTTCATCCATCAGAAGGCGCCGTGCTGTGCAGCACAAGGGTCTCAGCCTTTGGGCTGGGTGTATGTACATTTATTGTATGTTTCCAGCATTTGCGGTTGTTTTTATTTGCCATATCTAAGTAAATTTCTGTTGTGGCAAAAGCTGGTGTTGGGGTTGCTTTCCTCGTTCGTGACTTCACTGTATCCTGGGGAGCCCACCCCAGTACACGGCTTACAAGAGAGAGAGAGAGATATCATATTACCCCTGTACAAATTTTTAGTAAAACCTCATCTGGAATATGCAGTTCAATTTTGGGCACCAATTCACAAAAATAATATTGGGTAACTGGAGAAAGTACAGAGAAGAGCAACCAAAGTGATAAGAGGCATGGAGGAGATCAGCTATGAGGAAAGATTAGAGGAACTGAATGTATTCTCTCTTGAGAAGAGGAGATTAAGGAGGGGATATGAGCAACATGTATAAAAACATCAGTGGTTCATATAGTGAACTCTGGGGGCGCATGCGCGGGCGGCTCCAGGGATGAACGCTCACTGAAGAGAGCTCCGTCCACCCGCCAGCATGACATTGGCACACTAGGGTTCCAGGGAATATAAATAAGCTCATTAGAGCCATTAACCCCTCGCCATCCAAAGGGGCTCTGACCCGCAGGAGGAAAACGCCGGGTCATTCTGGTAAGATGACCAGCTTCTTCCCAGCACTCGGCCCCTGCAGCCAAAATGGTGCCGGCCCCCTGCAGAACGGCTTGTCTGCCCAGCAACAGCAGCAAGGGGAGACCACGGACCACCAGGCAGAATTCCATCCAGACCCCAGACTGAAGGAATCGCTTTACCCAGGGGATCCTGGTGAGTCCTCTCCCCCCGTCTCCCACATCCAGCAGCCCGGCTAAATCCAGGTCCAGACTGGACACAGGATCACTCCCGACAGACAACAACCTTCTCTTTCAAATACTATCCTATCTGCTAATGCTCCATCTTTAATTGAATCCTATCCTGCTTCTGACCAACCTATCACAGAGATTTCCATAAAGAACATGCCCCTTTCTGTGACAAATACTAAATCATGACTTGACGGCATCAAGATCGCTCCAGGCGAAACAACATTAAATTCCACGGGATCCCAGAGTCCATCACCACAGACGCCATAGTCCCATATTTACAACAATATATGAAAATTCTCATCTCCACCCTCACTGACGTGGAATTGGCTATAGACGGGCACATCGAATCCCCAAACCGTCATTTCTACCTGCGACGGTCCCCAGAGACATATTGGCGCGCATACATTTTTACCACGTGAAGGAAAAAATGATTGCAGCAAGAAATTCGACCTCCATTCCTCCAGCCCAAGCAAACATTAAATTGTTCGCAGACCTGTCCAAAGCCACATTCTCCAACCGCAAGAAGCTCATCAGCATAACCAAAGCACTACGGAATCATAACATTGGTTATCAATGGGGCTTCCCTACGAAACTAAATGTCAAATACCAAGGCAGATTCTACACAATTAAATCCCTAGAAGCAGGCATTGAACTATTGAAATCGTGGAGAATAATACCAGCAGATTCCCATCAACCAGCATCCAACCGGCCACAACAGATGGAAGCAGAATGGTCATAGCCTCCTCTCAAGCACTCAAGCATATTACCTTCACGCCCAATTCCCTGGGCACCACTATCTAACACACAAGCTGGCAATCGGCCCCTGATCGAACATATCGATCGTCCAAGTTCGTCTCAAGCATGAGCTCTCGAAAGAGTCATGCTTTCTCAAGCCTCCGCTCTACACAGTAGCAGATACTGCTACACATGTTACAATACTTGTGTCGTTTGCAAGTCTTTTTTACCCCTGTTTTTACCCTTGTTCATACCCCAAGCTAGCAGTCATCAGTTGCTAGAACTGCCCCTCTCAACAACCTCCTCCACACAACTTGAACACTCAATCCACAAAAATATCAATCCCATGCTCACAAAAACCGCACACCTGATGGTCCATCACCTCCACCATGAGGAAAACCACTCCTCTTCACAGCATCTGAATCACAAAAGCTACGGAATTGAAACCATCTACAATCAACAAAATGATAAACTATATGTTCGCTAAATGTCCGAGGTCTCAACTCCCCCTTCAAAAGGTCCCTGCTTTCGAGAGAAGTCCACACCATTCAACCTGACATCGTATTCCTACAAGAGACCCACTTCACATCATTCAAAATCCCTAAATTCAACATTCCTCAGTTCTCCACTATATATATGGCAACGAATCCTAAAAAGGAAAACGGCGTCATTATAACCATAAGAGACTCCCTGAAGTTCCAATTTATTTCGGCAACAGCAGACCCACAAGACCCACATATTGATCTGCAAAATCAACGATACTACAAGTAATTCACATATAATACATTGGTGACATACTAACATTACATTGGTGTGTCTATGGTCCTAACACCAATCAAATCCAATTCTTCAACAAACTTAACTCCACCATAAATCAACACATAAAAGGCAGACTATTCATCGGCGGGGACTTTAACACTATCGGTAATCCTCTTCTGGACTCCTCATCCAACAAAAGACCTTCAAAACAGACCTTCAACCAATTTCTTCATTCCAATGATCTCTATGACATCTGGAGATGCCAACACAGTAAAGGACTATACC